CTGGACGAGGTATTGCTGTCATGCATTGCAGCCACTGTGTCCACAACAGCACCACGTGTTGGCAGATCCTTCATTCCAGCTGTAGCGGCCGCTTCCTCAGACGCATGATAGTGCAAGCGCCACTCACTGTGAACGACGAGTCGATGACGTGGGAGCTCACCTGCTGAAGCCACGTTCATGAGCTCGAGGTCAAATCGAGCCGGACATCCGGTGAAGTTCACGGTGGAGTTCCTTTTACCCACGCCACGACGCTTTTGGAAGACACCATGCTTACACCGGTAGTTCAAAAAGAACTTGTGGAACTGGTCTGTCGTAATGTTCGTATTGTGTTTCCTAGAATACAGCGTAACAATTAATATAGCGTTGGTGACCACAAATGAAGCGTCGTACCGATTGTACTCGTCAACGTCCTTAGACGTGCGAACACGATAGTACACGCGCTGCGTACGGCAGTAGTCTGCATACGCAACTTCCCAAGACTTCCAGGATGCGTAGCCTCTCCGTGGAACTGGCCCGACGTAATTTTCCACATTGGTGTGAGAGGCAATCATTTCCTCTCGCTCCTTCTTCGTGCTGCTGCTGCGCACACGTGGTTGCTCGGGTTCAGCAAACTGAAGGTGCGGGGGTAGTTCCTCGTCGCTGCTCTCCTCCCTCTTGCTGTTTTCAATGCAGGTCTCACTCTTCTCCTCAACCTCGTAAGACGATGAAGGGCTTCTGTCGACTTCGTGGGGCGAGTACAGACGGAGCTTTTTCGTCGACTGCGAAGAGGGACCGGCTTTTGATGGACTGCTCTTTCGTTTGGTACCAACTGCCAGAAGCAACGTTACCAATAGCAACGTTAATCACATTACGGCAAACATAAAGCAACTTTAAAACACAACAAGCACTACCCTTGACTTGACTGCCAGCGTTTCCGCGCACTTGGTCGCCATGGTTGCCTTGGCAACGCAATCCACATTCCGCGCGCGGAGAAGCACCGCTCATGCCGCCAGCATCCATGCCACCAGCTGCATCATCTGCGGGCTCTGGTATAGGTTCTAATTTATTACATAAGGTACGTAACGTTAGAATAGAGCAACATTAACATGAAGCAACGTTAAAATTTCACAAGCGTTATCCCCTTTAGCATAACTCACCGTTGCCGTCCCCGCTACCAATCGCACCACCCTTGTTCGCAACGTCCGTTCTTGACGGACCCTCGATCACGAACTTGCCGCGCTTGTCGCTATCACTCTTGTCGCCAGACAACTGTCGTGCACCTGGATCTATGCACACAACCAAACCAATCACAACCGCTCTGTTAACGACACAACGATAAACATAGGCGAGGGACAAAAGCAGTTTCGCAGCACACACACCCTCGTAATCTCGATCAGCGTTACCCTTCAGGGCACCTCCGACTGCCGGGTTCATTTCGTTTCCGCCCCCGCGGTCTGCACCCTCACACACAACCTCAAAGTCGGCACCTGCGTCGTCGCGAAACCCTGTCGCATAATTGTCTGTGTTATCCACGCAATATATAAAAAACGTTAATACAAAACTTTAAATTAGAGCAACGTTAGGTTCCGCAACGTTATTAAAAGTACAATACAAACCTGCGTCTTTACCGGCCCATTCATCAACCTGACGCGCACCCTCGTCACCAACGCCAACTTTGCCTATCGAGGCTTCTCCGAGCGTCGGATACTCTCCGTCTCTGCCCTCGCACACACTCTTGTCATTATTACCTGTGTTGCCGCCCAAATCTGGCACCGTTTTGGCTGTGTTATTCACACAATATCATAGCGTTAGTAAAGCAACAATAAAGAAAAGCAACGTTAGCTTCAAGCAACGTTAGCTGCAAGCAACGTTAACATCAAGTACGAAACTACTGGGGTCCTTACGGGCGACCTCTTCATCGACGTGACGCGCAGCCGACACAAGTTGGTCCATACATGCGCCAGGTGCGCTTCTGGCGACAGTGGTGTTGCTTCCCGTTCCACCAGCGAGAGCACGCCCTCCACGTCCTCCGCTAGCACCCACACCGCCTTTCCGAGACGTATCTATAGCGTAACAATGAAAACGGTTAGATGATGAAATGAGTTTGGATAGACGCGCAATACACGAGCCGCTGTCAGCCGCGTCAACGACTTCGCTTTCGATGACCGGCTCCGCACGAGTGCTAGCGGCATTGAAACTGTCGCTTGAGTCACGCTCACTATCGTGAGCTGAAAGACTGGGTGGGACCCCGGCATGCTCACCGCCTTCTTCTTGGGCGCTCCCTCCCGTACCCGCGGGGCCGTTCTCTCCGTCGTTGCCGCGCATGGTGCTCCGCTGCGTGTCGTGTTCGCGCTTTCTCCCCGTTGTCGAAAATGAGCGGTTCGCAGATCTCGTACTTAAGAAATAAAACAGAAACTTATACCGATACCTTACCGGTTTATTTCTCTTGGATAAAATTTGTGGTCGTTTTCGTCTGTGAATTTTACAATAAGCCGGACGACGTTAATTCTGCTTAAAGCGACGTTATGAGCATAAACGCTACGCCTCTTAACGTTGCATGACCCGCTCAAGAAGATTTCGCTAAACACCTTTGTATCCCAAAATCGCTTTAGGCAGACCGAAGGCAGCGACTTAGCTTACCTGTACCCTGTAGCGCTTCAGACGGTTTCGATAGAGCTTGCAGTGCCTGAAGCACTATGCGAATACGTTTTCTCTTTTGCAGCGGCTGGCGGGTGGAAGCTGTAGTCTATAAACGATGGGAATTTCTTGCTGCTCTCAAATTCAGTCTGATACGGTTGTAAAATCTTGAAATTCGTCTCCTTTGGTACGTTCAGTCTGTTATTTGCGCACAGGTGTATGAAAGAGTTAAAGACCTGTGCGATCGTTACTTTTCACATCCTGGATGATCGTTTTATAATTAAACTGCTGCATTTCGATCGTAACGTCAGATCGCGAATGGAGGCAAATACGTGCACAATACTGTGCAGCAGTGGTGTCAATAATAGCGAAGTTCCGGGAAGAAACCTTCAGGATTCATTCACTAGTTTGGAGACAGTAAATATTGACCTAAAATACGTAAAACTGTGTATCACGTGGCGACCTGCTGCTTAAAGCTACCGGTACCTATCTACCGGTACCATGAACTTTAGTATATTAAAATGCACGTACATATACTTTTATATAAGCCCATACAGTAGCGACAGCCGTGTACTGTATCAGTACAGTACTTGATTCAAGCACCACTCCGCATGACGGAGTCTGAGCCATGCGCTCTATTAGAGAGTCTGTTTTACAGTACTGTATGGTCTACAGTTCAGTCTGAACAATGAACAGCTCCCCATTCTTGTTGACCGCTACCTCAAGAGCTAATACAATTTACTCTCCAGAGTGTAATGGACAGTGTACTGTACTGTACATACGTGCACACATGCATGTACAGTATTCACATCGTCGACCGATGAGGGTGCTTACAGAGGTGGTGCCACGGGACTTTGACTGCAAGGCTCTGATACTGTACATGTAATGACTTATGGTCATGTAGTCGAGATAAACGAGACGGTCGGAACTGACGGCCACTAAACCAGCCTGACCGTGTGGTGCTCAAGAAGAGAACTTGTTTATATTAACGCGACTAACAACACAGCTGGATCATATCTTCAAGGAAATTAGACGTGACGTGCAACGACAAGTTCGCCACTGTCGTAATTAACTGTACATGTTAGAATAAACTATTAATAATAGTACCTCTCCACTAACAAATTTGCAGTCTATATATAGCACATACACTGTAAGCAATCACTTTGATGAACGCTCAAGATTATTTATCTTCCCTGTCCAGTTCAGCAGAATTTAATTTAAAATTGTACGACGATCTTTCATTCGTACAGGACAGGACAACTGTTTCCGGTAGTCGAACGTTAATCAAACTGCTTACAGTGTATTATTAAAAGCACTTTTCTTGTAAAACAAATGGTATCAAATGTTAAGGCCACTCTCCGTTTTCGGTTGGCAATACCGGTACAGCCTATCAGTCGTGAATCGTGTGATCCGTTTTCGGTTGGCAATACCGGTACAGCCTATCAGTCGTTGATTCGGACGGAAAAGCCCACACCAGAATAAATTCTAGACGACTACACCAACTGGAAGTTTGGCTGTGCCTTGTTTCGCTCTAATAATAGAACAGTCTGATGGATGCTTCTTACAGTATCATTTAACTCAAAATAGAAGGTCAATTGTCAAATAATGGCCTGATGGCGCAAAATGTGGGCTAACAGTGATGCCATACATACTTGTAGAAAGATTAAAAAAAAGATCTAAAACAAGCTTATAATGGTTTGTTTTTCGACAAATAAATGTGTCTACAGACATATTAGAAAAGAACTTTGAGGTGGTCTGCTAAGAACTACAATTGACAACGACACAATATAGTAGTTGCCCTTCAAAGACTGCTGTTGTCTTTCATATGCACGAACACTATGCCGGAAGTCCTCAAAACAGCTCTCGAACAATGGTAAGTGAGCTACGAAAATATACTACCTGTAGCTTTTGTAAAGCGAAAACAAGTGCACGACCACTTGCTTCGCGAATACTGTACAGCTTAGCGACTTGTCAACAAGCTTGACTGGCGGGATTCGTCGTCACGGATTTGACACGTGAGCGAAAAGAGCCGACAGGGTGAAGCACTTGGCTCGACCGCAAACGTCACTCAGCAGGACGCCTACAGGAAACCAACTGGGAATCCTGATCTTCGGGCTTGAACCATCAGATCCTGCTCCACCGCTTCTCCTATTACGCATGCCACACAAGCGGTCACAGGGCCCTCCGATGGTCGCGCAGTCGTCCAACTTCTGTTTTAATAAATCGTTAATCAGAACTTTGACATAAATCAATTTGCATCTTAAGCAGCAAGTGTCCAGTCAATTCCATAGCTTCGATTGCTGCAATCTACTATGGTTAAGCTCTTCACACCATTCGCGACGTCGGTTGCCCTCCTTGTGGCGGCGGCAACTGCTACGGCCGTGCCCGATGGTTCATGGCCCGCCAGCACAGGCACCGTCCAGTACGCGGAAGCCTACGTTATCAAGGCCGGTGAGGTGTTCGATGGCAAGATGCAGACCTTCGAGCGCTCCGACGTGTCGTGTGAAGGTCAGACTGAAAGCAATGCCGACACCGCCGTGTTCATGATGGAGCCGGGTGCCACTCTCAAGAACGCTATCATCGGCAAGAACCAAATGGAAGGTGTCCACTGTGATAAGCACGACTGCACCATTGACAATGTCTGGTGGGATGATGTGTGCGAGGACGCCCTCAGCATCAAGGGCGGAACCGCCTCCAGTGTGTCCACTGTGACCAACTGCGGTGCCCGGTACGCCGACGACAAGGTGATCCAGCACAACGGATACGGTACTGTCAAGATTGACGGCTTCTACGGTGAGGACATCAGCAAGCTCTACCGTTCGTGTGGCACTTGTGGTGACAGACCGAAGAAGGTGTCGGTGTCCAATTCGTACATTGTGAACCCGGGCAACGCCATTGTGACGGTTAACAAGAACTGGGGTGACGAGGCCACGCTGAAGAACATTTGGGTCAAGTCGAGCAAGGCATCTGTGAAGGTTTGTCAGTGGTCTCAGGGCAACGCCAACGGTGAGCCCAAGATGTTGGGCAACGGTCCGTCTCCGCCTCTGTGCCAATACTCGGAGAGCGATGTTCACATCAACGAGGATATTTCTCAAGCGAAGCAGACTTCGCCGTCGTCCACTTCTTCTTCCTCGGGCGATGTCACCCAGGCGGCTTCGTCGGCCTCCACCGCCTCATCAGGTGCCACCCAGACGAGTCCTTCCTCGTCGACCGCTTCGTCGGGTGAGAACCAGACGTCTTCGGCGACAACTGACTCGTCAGTGGCCTCTTCGGCTTCGCCTGCGTCCTCGTCGTCGCAGAACCCCACTCAGACGTCTTCGTCGTCGACGACGGGTTCAGCTTCGTACCAGGCTTCTTCGAGCTCATCGATGGACGCTTCGGAGGGCGACGCCCCTGGTACGGTGGCGCCCGTAGAGAGCGGCAGCTTCGAGCAATCGGTTATCAGCAGTGATGCCAGCCAGACGCAGCAGCAGGACTTGACGGAGGAACCTACGGCTACGCCATCTGTCTCAAGCTCGAGCTCTGGTTCGCTATACTCATCGGAGGAGGATGTCTCGCAGACCGCCGTACAGCAGTCGAGTGTTGCATCCAGCGATGCCAATGGAAGCACAACATCTAGCAGTAGTTCAACCACGAGCCAAAGCTCCACCGCCGGATCAACTACGCAGAGCTCAAGCAATGGATCTGGCAACCAGAGCTCCGACAGTGAGTCAGTTACTCAGAACTCTGGCAGCGACTCCGTTACACAGAACGCGGGCAGCGATTCAACCACACAGACTGCTACCAACTCGACAGGTACAGTTCCAGATGGGTCATGGCCGGCCAGCACAGGCACCGTCCAGTACGCGGAAGCCTACGTTATCAAGGCCGGTGAGGTGTTCGACGGCAAGATGCAGACCTTCGAGCGCTCCGACGTGTCGTGTCAAGGTCAGACGGAGAGCAATGCCGACACCGCCGTGTTCATGATGGAGCCGGGTGCCACTCTTAAGAACGCTATCATCGGCAAGAACCAAATGGAAGGTGTCCACTGTGATAAGCACGACTGCACCATTGACAATGTATGGTGGGATGATGTGTGCGAGGACGCCCTCAGCATCAAGGGCGGAACCGCGTCCAGTGTGTCTACTGTGACCAACTGCGGTGCCCGGTACGCCGACGACAAGGTGATCCAGCACAACGGATACGGTACTGTCAAGATTGACGGCTTCTACGGTGAGGACATCAGCAAGCTCTACCGTTCGTGTGGCACTTGTGGTGACAGACCGAAGAAGGTGTCGGTGTCCAATTCGTACATTGTGAACCCGGGCAACGCCATTGTGACGGTTAACAAGAACTGGGGTGACGAGGCCACGCTAAAGAACATTTGGGTCAAGTCGAGCAAGGCATCCGTGAAGGTTTGTCAGTGGTCTCAGGGCAACGCCAACGGTGAGCCCAAGATGTTGGGCAACGGTCCGTCTCCGCCTCTGTGTCAGTACGCGGAGAGCGACGTGCATATCAACGGAAAGTGATCGTGTTGAAATTGTTTGCAAAATTTGAAGTGTAAGAATAAAAGCTAGAATTGATGTTTTTGCAAAGCTTAGAAGGCGCTCTTGTATTTTTCTTTAAAAAAAGGTTTTCTATTGATACCACAGTGCCATGATCATTTGCATTGTTTGGAATCCGGAAATAAATTCGTGTAGCATTGATTTTGTACCTGTGGCCAAAACATATTTTTGAAAGCAGCATATTCGGGCATCCATCAGGTCTGCTAAAGCTATTTTAGCTGCATTCACACATGTGTGTTAATTTAGCTCCTGCTTTCCTTAAATGATAAGAGACGTTGAGCGAGCATTTTTTTTTTTTTTATTACGACTAATGTTAAGGAAATCTTAATTATTTTACTTCTTTTAACAAAAATATAGGGATTCCACAACAAATCGGTTTTCACCGATTTGGTACCGCTAACCAGTTTACTTCTTCGCAGCATCTATGCGACTACTGCCAAGGTACCGGTACCAAAAAGCTCAATTCCCACTCAATTCCCAGCAGGGTTTCCCTGGGAAAATGGGCAAAAACCTGGGAAGATGCCCTCCCAGCACTCAACCAAGTTCTCTTCTTGACCACCACACCGTGTGGTGCTCAAGAAGAAAACTTGTTTAAATGAACGCGACCAACTACACAGCTGGATCGTATCTTCAAGGAAATTGAACGTGACGTGCAACGACAAGTTCGTCACTGTCGTAATTAATTGTACATGTTATTAATAGAATATACTATATAAATATGTAATAGTACCTCCCCACTAACAAATTCGCGGTGCCTATTGATAGCACATGTACTGTAAGCAATCACTTTCATGGACGCTCAAGATTATTTATCTTCCCTGTTCAGTTCAGCAGAATTTAATTTAAAATTGTACGACGATCGTTCATTCGTACAGGACAGGTACAGTACACAACTGTTTCCGGTAGTCGAACGTTAATCAAACTGCTTATTAACATTTTTTTCTCGAGAAACAAATGGTATCAAATGCTATGGCCACTGGCCATTGGCCAGTCTCCGGTTATTTCGTTTTCGGTTGGCAATACCGGTACAGCCTATCAGTCGTGAATCACGTGATTCGGACAGAAAAGCTTACACCAGAATAAATTTTAGACGACTACACCAACCTGAAGTTTGGCCGTTATTATAGTGTGCCTTGTTTCGCTCAAACTTGTTCCAAAAGAGATAGACGGCTTAAGGTGTAAGGTCTAATGCATTTGTGGGCCTCTCACTCCTACTTTTATCCGTTAATACCATTTAGTATTATTTAAAATCTCTAAAATCTAAAAATTTGTTTTTAAGAATCATAGCACTACGTGGAGCGATTGCTAGTAATATAAAAGTCTGATGGATGCTTCTATTATATCATTAAACTCAAAATAAAAGGTCAATTGTCCTGATAACGCAAAATATGGGCTAATAGTGAAGCCTTACATACTTGTAAGAAAATTTTATGATCTAAAAACAAGCTTTTAATGGTTTGTATTTCGACAATGTTAGAAAAGAGCTTTGAGGTGGTCTGCTAAGAACTACAACTGACAAGCTCGCTCAGCGACACAATATAGTAGTTGCCCTGCAAAGACTGCTGCTGTCTTTCATGCGCACGAACACTATACCGAAAGTCCTCAAACAGTTCCTGAACACTGGTAAGTGAGCTACGAAAATATACTAGCTTTTGTAAAGCGAAAACGAGTACACGACCACTTGCTTCCTTAGCGACTTGTCAACAAGCTTGACTGGCGGGATTCGTCGTCACGGATTTGACACGTGAGCGAAAAGAGCCGACAGGGTGAAGCACTTGGCTCGACCGCAAACGTCACTCAGCAGGACGCCTACAGGAAACCAACTGGGAATCCTGATCTTCGGGCTTGAACCATCAGATCCTGCTCCACCGCTTCTCCTATTACGCATGCCACACAAGCGGTCACAGGGCCCTCCGATGGTCGCGCAGTCGTCCAACTTCTGTTTTAATAAATCGTTAATCAGAACTTTGACATAAATCAATTGGCATCTTAAGCAGCAAGTGTCCAGTCAATTCCATAGCTTCGATTGCTGCAATCTACTATGGTTAAGCTCTTCACACCATTCGCGACGTCCGTTGCCTTCCTTGTGGCGGCGGCAACTGCTACGGCCGTGCCCGATGGTTCATGGCCCGCCAGCACAGGCACCGTCCAGTACGCGGAAGCCTACGTTATCAAGGCCGGTGAGGTGTTCGACGGCAAGATGCAGACCTTCGAGCGCTCCGACGTGTCGTGTCAAGGTCAGACTGAAAGCAATGCCGACACCGCCGTGTTCATGATGGAGCCGGGTGCCACTCTCAAGAACGCTATCATCGGCAAGAACCAAATGGAAGGTGTCCACTGTGATAAGCACGACTGCACCATTGACAATGTCTGGTGGGATGATGTGTGCGAGGACGCCCTCAGCATCAAGGGCGGAACCGCCTCCAGTGTGTCCACTGTGACCAACTGCGGTGCCCGGTACGCCGACGACAAGGTGATCCAGCACAACGGATACGGTACTGTCAAGATTGACGGCTTCTACGGTGAGGACATCAGCAAGCTCTACCGTTCGTGTGGCACTTGTGGTGACAGACCGAAGAAGGTGTCGGTGTCCAATTCGTACATTGTGAACCCGGGCAACGCCATTGTGACGGTTAACAAGAACTGGGGTGACGAGGCCACGCTGAAGAACATTTGGGTCAAGTCGAGCAAGGCGTCTGTGAAGGTTTGTCAGTGGTCTCAGGGCAACGCCAACGGTGAGCCCAAGATGTTGGGCAACGGTCCGTCTCCGCCTCTGTGTCAATACTCGGAGAGCGATGTTCACATCAACGAGGACATTTATCAAGCGAAGCAGACTTCGCCGTCGTCCACTTCTTCTTCCTCGGGCGATGTCACCCAGGCGGCTTCGTCGACCTCCACCGCCTCATCAGGTGCCACCCAGACGAGTCCTTCCTCGTCGACCGCTTCGTCGGGTGAGACCCAGACGTCTTCGGCGTCAACTGACTCGTCAGTGGCCTCTTCGGCTTCGACTGCGTCCTCGTCGTCGCAGAACCCCACTCAGACGTCTTCGTCGTCGACGACGGGTTCAGCTTCGTACCAGGCTTCTTCGAACTCATCGACGGACGCTTCGGAAGGCGACGCCCCTGGTACGGTGGCGCCCGTAGAGAGCGGCAGCTTCGAGCAATCGGTTATCAGCAGTGATGCCAGCCAGACGCAGCAGCAGGACTTGACGGAGGAACCTACGGCTACGCCATCTGTCTCAAGCTCGAGCTCTGGTTCGCTATACTCGTCGGAGGAGGATGTCTCGCAGACCGCCGTACAGCAGTCGAGTGTTGCATCCAGCGATGCCAATGGAAGCACAACATCTAGCAGTAGTTCAACCACGAGCCAAAGCTCCACCGCCGGATCAACTACGCAGAGCTCAAGCAATGGTTCTGGCAACCAGAGCTCCGACAGTGAGTCAGTTACTCAGAACTCTGGCAGCGACTCCGTTACACAGAACACGGGCAGCGATTCAACCACACAGACTGCTACCAACTCGACAGGTACAGTTCCAGATGGGTCATGGCCGGCCAGCACAGGCACCGTCCAGTACGCGAAAGCCTACGTTATCAAGGCCGGTGAGGTGTTCGACGGCAAGATGCAGACCTTCGAGCGCTCCGACGTGTCGTGTCAAGGTCAGACGGAGAGCAATGCCGACACCGCCGTGTTCATGATGGAGCCGGGTGCCACTCTCAAGAACGCTATCATCGGCAAGAACCAAATGGAAGGTGTCCACTGTGATAAGCACGACTGCACCATTGACAATGTCTGGTGGGATGATGTGTGCGAGGACGCCCTCAGCATCAAGGGCGGAACCGCCTCCAGTGTGTCCACTGTGACCAACTGCGGTGCCCGGTACGCCGACGACAAGGTGATCCAGCACAACGGATACGGTACTGTCAAGATTGACGGCTTCTACGGTGAGGACATCAGCAAGCTCTACCGTTCGTGTGGCACTTGTGGTGACAGACCGAAGAAGGTGTCGGTGTCCAATTCGTACATTGTGAACCCCGGTAACGCCATTGTGACGGTAAACAAGAACTGGGGTGACGAGGCCACGCTGAAGAACATTTGGGTCAAGTCGAGCAAGGCATCTGTGAAGGTTTGTCAGTGGTCTCAGGGCAACGCCAACGGTGAGCCCAAGATGTTGGGCAACGGTCCGTCTCCGCCTCTGTGCCAGTACGCGGAGAGCGACGTGCATATCAACGGAAAGTGATCGTGTTGAAATTGTTTGCAAAATTTGAAGTGTAAGAATAAAAGCTAGAATTGATGTTTTTACAAAGCTTTGAAGGCGCTCTTGTATTATTCTTTAAAAAAAGGTTTTCTATTGATACCACAGTGCCATGATCATTTGCATTGTTTGGAATCCGGAAATAAATTCGTGTAGCATTGATTTTTTACTTGTGGCCACAATTTTCCTGCTAACAAAGTTTTCGGGCATCCATCAGTTCTGTTAGCTATTTTAATAACAGAAGCTGCATTCACACATGTGTGTGAATTTTGCTTCTGCTTTCCCTAAATGCTAAAGACATTTCTTTTTTACAAAAAAAAAATACCTATGTGAGCTTAATTTTATTTAAAAAAACAAACATTTAATTTAAAATAAAAGTTAAATTTCATTTTTACAAAGCAACTATTTTGCGTTTCCAAAATATTTTTTTTTAAATATTTGCCTTTCCAAAAAAAATATGCTAAATATTTGTTTCTGATTTGTGACAGGAAATTAATTTACAAGTAGCAACACAAATTTAAAAAAAAATGGCCTGACATAGGGGTAGGCCAAAAAGCCAAACATATCCCAAACGAATTTTTTCAAGCAGTAGATTTTACAGTGTTAGGCCCCACAGTCCATTGCATTTACCGTATTTGAGATCTCCTACTTCAGACCCAATATTTTTGAAGTTGTATTGTTGCAAAATACACAAGATCTGTACACGTACCGACGCATCTCTATCACGTTTTATTTAAACAAAACAATTTAGCTATCAAGTTCTTCTTCGGAAATTACGAAGTTTTCTATGTCGTGACGCGTATCCACAGCATGGCGCACTACGGGCACTTCTTCCAGCAGCCGTCGTAGCAGCTCCCAATCAGGTTCACTGTCAGAAAGCTCCGTTCCAGCCTCTAAGTTTTCAGTAGGCTCAATGGATACCATTTTTGCTTTCTCAAATCCGCTTCTAACCGTTTTGCGAGACAACGCATTCCACGAATTCTTCGTCCAACCTATTAATTGCTGCCGTGTAGGTGCTTTTATCTTAAACGGAAGCGTCGAAGTTGAAGCGCGTAGTTGTTTCAACATGTTCTCCACCCAATTTTTCCGCATTTTGTCTTTTAATGGCTTGTTCCACGAAATATCACGGCTGGCACGCAAACGTGTTGGTGGAAAGTTACAGTTTAGCATGTTTTTTGTACTCTGAATTAGGAGATCTAGACTTGTGCGCTGTTCCATTCTCGATATGTGATTGGTTGGAGGGCAGTCTGAATTAGGAGATCACTCTGAAGTAGGAGATCTCAAATACGGTACATGTTAATAAAAGTCCTCTTCTATTTTGGTTTGGAATTTCCCTAGTACAACCGGAAGATCCCAAAGTAGAATTATGTGAGTTAATAAACATCATCGAGCAAACAGAATATGTAGTCGAAGGTCACACAACAGCACATCTATTCTTTTACGCAAATACATCGCCACGCTAACGCGTCGGCCCTTCCTCACAATACTCAAACACACACTCCCCATATTTATTCGTTGATGTGGACGTCGCTCTCCGAGTACTGGCACAGCGTGCCTGACGGACCGTCGCCCAGGTTCGACGGTGAGCTGCCGCCCTGCGACCACTGACACACCTTCACACCGGTGTTGCCGTTCGTCGTCTTCACGTGGATGTTGCTCAGCTTCGCCTGGTCGCCGTAGTTCTTGTTCACGGTGATGACACTCACGAGTGGGTCGATAGCGTACACGTTGTCCACCGTCACCGTGCGGGGAATGTCACCGCATGTGCCGCACGAACGGTACAGCTTGCCGAACTCCTGGGCGAAAAAGCCGTCGATCTTGACGGTGCCGTAGCCGTTGTGCTGTACGACCTTGTCCGAGGCGTAGCGAGCACCGCAGTTGGTGACGGTGGTGACACTGGAGGCGGTTCCGCCCTTAACGCTCAGCGCGTCCTCGCACACGTCGTCCCACCATACGTTCTCAATGGTACAGTCATGGTCATCACAGTGAACACCCTCTTTCTGGTTCTTTCCGATGATAGCGTTCTTAAGAGTACCACCGGCCTCGACGAGGAACACAGCCGTGTCCTTTTGGCCCTCGCCACCCGAGCACGTGATGTCCGAGCGCTCGAAGGTCTGCATCTTGCCGTCAAAGACCTCGCCATCGAACGTGGGCGATGGTCCGTCAGGCACGCTGTGCCATTACTCGGAGAGCGACGTCCACATCAACGAACAATTATGGGAATACGTGAAGTGTGCTGTAGAGTTTTGTAGCGTATGCGACGCTCATGAGTTTTCAAGGTGCATGTATAAAGCCGGAACAGCAATGGCTCTTGAAGATTTAACGGTAACGTTTCCTCCCGTTATACTTCCTCTGTCCGAAAATATAATAGCGGTCTGAGCTAATTTTAACAATGGGTGTTAAATCAGTCATCAATCAATCAAAATTATCATTATTTTTTTGTTTTAATACTATATTGAAGTGCACCTTCATATTCGGACCGAAGGTAGTATTCGCATTCGATAGGCGATTTACGTCTCTTAAAGTTTTCACGACACCCAATATTAAAACGAAGACGTAGCGGAGAAATTTCAACTTCCAATTCGGCACCACGAACTTCACGATATCTTTGGCCGATTTGATTCAAACTTCGACTAGAAAATTCGCCTTAATCGGTGCTGCTGATAGCGCGTAACTCGATTTTGACTCGGCCAACAATAACAGCAATTGAATAAGCGTACTTTGCCAAAATACAACGGTATTTATCTAATGATTTGAATTTGTAAGGGAGCCGCTAGTATTTTCGGACACGATTGAAACAGGTTATTTCCGGCCAGAGGAAGTAATAGTCGAGATCCAAGTTCAGTTAGACTTCAAACCAAGCTGGCAATTGCTCTACCGTTTCTGCTCTGTTCAGCCGCGCTAAGCTGCGCTAAGTGACTGCGATCCAACGAAAAATGATTTGTCGCCCCCACTCGGAGTGGTACAGTAATCTACCTCAATTAAAGAAAATCGATAAACTTATAGCCTTCAATATATTATGCGGCCGAGCTTACATCAAATCATTATCCATTGATTTTGGTTTCCTGTAATCACGCATTTTTATTTTAAATGGCATTTTTACTAGATGGCTTTTTTTCCAAGGCCACTTACTATGTCCATCCACAAATTCCATCCATCATGGAGGCTTTGAATGCATCTGGAGTCAGCATTTTACCGGTACATCGACGACTTCATTTCTAAAAGGAAAGAATTATGATATAAGTACATGTATTAATACGTCTGATATTTTGTTTTCTAACTCTTAAAAAGAAGCCTGTCTTAAAAGATGATTAGAAAAGAGAAGTGTTTTTTTTTTAACAACAAGGCCACCGCAGCGAAATGCCCTATAATTATTCTTAGAGTCTTGCCGTTGTTGGTGCACCACAATGTGATCTGCTGCGCCCCAGCTTCGCAATTTAGTTCGAAAATCTGTACAGTACATGTACATGTGCAGCGCGAATTGTACTGGCCTGCGCCTGTCTATTAAATAACACGAAAACTCTGAGACGATGGACGCAAGACTTCCAGTCACTTGTCGGCTTCTGGATACAAACCTCACACATTGTGAGACTGTTGATAAATCTGGAGCTACCTTTGCTTCCTTGCGCCAATGACACCACGATGACAACGGAATTAGAAGCCGCCATCTTTCGGACGGCAAAAAGGTAAAAGCGAGTCCTCAACTCCAATCCTTGAATTCTCTTGCTGACACTTGGCTCCGGTATACTTCGTTCAAGACACTCGAGTACCGATTAATTGGGTATTGTTGAGAAACAAGGCGCGGCTATCCGAGCTGCACATTCCGTGTCCCCATTCTGAGTGCTCGGCAGACGAGTCTGGAAAACTCTATGTGTGTAGCGCTTTTGACGGCCGTCTCTGGTCAATTAGGAACGTGGTGCAAAAGCATCTGGACAAACCCCTAAAAATTGTACGCATGCATTTGTCAAGATAGATCTTGGCTTCGTGCCAAGCCTCTATGTGAAATTCGTGCTCAAATCCGAAAGCTGAAGCATGCGAGGACTATTTTATCACACCACATGTGCCAGGGAAAACCCAGCGATCGCACGGAGCGTCCCAGCCTAAAGCAGCGCTGCTCATTACGGGAAAAACTCGCTCTTCGGCACAGAAGGCCGTTGCGTGTGGGATCCAGCATGAAGACGGTTCTCTCTCCGTTAGTGCTGTGTGCAGCTCTGTTGATCTCGGCAGCGTCGGCAGGAGGGGAGACCAAGACCGGCGCAGGAGCGTCGAAAACGTCGACGGGTCTGGACACAGGAGACGCGTACCTCGGCTCGGTCGACGCGAACCAGAAGAATAATTACGATTTTAAATACGTTAACAAGGACAGCGATACGTCTGAACGTGATGGAACTCTGGGCGACTCGGTTGTTGCCGGCAAGGAAACAGACGCAAAACCATCGACGGATGTCGTTACGTTGTCTCCCGAATTGAAGAAGGAAGCGGGAATTGATAAGGGGGCAATCAGTACCGCCGCGAGTGCTGCGACGGGTACGTCCGTCGAACAGGGTGTCATTGGAAGTACCTCTGGCGGCGACTCCGCTCCTCAGCAGGCTGCGCCGCCGAAAGAGGGTGACGACCCCAAGGCTACGAAAGGAGGGTCGACGTACACTCCGGCACCGACAAGTGCCCCCCAACCGACATCGGCGAGTACCCCGGCAAGTGACGATAACGAAGAATCGAAGAAAACCGAGGAATCAACGGATACCCCTCCGTCAACCCCGGCGACGCCGCCATCGGGCGGAGACCAGTCAAAGTCGACGGACACCCAGGAATGGACGAATGCTCCGCAATCGACGCCTGCACCCGATGACGACCAATCAGGGGACGACGAGCAGTCGACGTCGACGGACACTCAGGAGACTACTCCTGCTACCGAGGACGATCAATCAGGGGAGGACGAGGAGTCTACCGATGCCTCCGGGTCTTCCGACACCCCGCAGTCAACTCCAGCGTCGGCTCCTACGACTGATTCGTCGCAGTCAAACAACCAGTGGACACCTGCCCCGAACCAGTCGAACAACCAGCAACCGACTCAAGCTCCTAACAACGAAGCTCCGCAGCCGACACAACCCACACAAGCCTCAAACAATGAAGCACCTCAGCCTGGTCAAAACTCAAACTGGAAGGGTCAGGGAGGTAACTCGCAAACCCCGGCCAATAACGGTAGCCAGAACTCGGACTGGCAAAGCAATTGGGGATCGCCCGAACAGACTCAGACTCAGTACACGTCTGCGCCATCGACGACCTCCGACTCGAGCCAGGCGACGAACCGCGAGTCCCCTGTTCCTACAGAATCCACTTCCTACGCGAGTACTCCGGCCACGACTCCGTCCCCTCCTGTATCGAACTGTAAGGTTCGTCGCGCGAGACACTGAGTAGTGGTTTCTATTGTAGGCAAATAGCCTTACTGTTAGATTTGTTGCGTTGAGAGCTTCGTGTGGGAGTTTGCACGCGAAGCACAGAATTGTTCTAGCCCTTAAACATGTCGTCCTCGTTCAAGTTCAACAGTGAGGCTAAACATTACAGTTCGTGTTGTTGTTGATCAACCGACGAAGCTGGGGAAGAAGACTGTTTTTTTCTTCATCTTTTTGCTGACTTCTTTAGTAGTATTATACAGTAGTAGAACAACGTAGTACTACAAATAAATACTACAGTAGGAATATAGTAGTAGTAGTTGCATTTTGCAGGACTGGTACAGTGAACTTTTATTTTTGATTAAGGATTGAGGTACCAAACAAAAACTCGTAAAACTTAGGTGCTGACACGAAGCCGAGACACCAATCAACTTAAAGGCAGGAAAACAAGAACTTTCTATTACCCAATGCTCACTGTATAAAATTATGTTGGGGATGGATGTCATGTCGCACAAATCCTTAGCAGCGGCGCCAACATTATCATCAAAGTAGCGCCTGCATGATCAAGGGAGCACCAACACGTCTCTGAATATAGCTAGTTAGGTCATGCTCAAGGTAATCTTTGAAGCGCTTACACTTTAAAGCACTAGCACGGATTCACTAGACTCCGTCTGAAAGAGGCTGCATCACCCCTCCTTTTACACCCTAGCCCTATTTGGTGCCTCTATACAGCTCCTTTAATTCTTATAAAAAAATATTTTATAAACGATATCGTGCACGCGAAAATTATCGATTTCTTCCCAGATATAGTGTCTTTTTTTGTATTGATCTAATGGCTACGAGTCATAAAAGCAATGGGAATGACGATACTGGAAGTATGGTTGGACAAACAGCATTAGCTTTTAAGCTATTGAAAATACAACGTTATGCCATCGGGTCAAAACTGTATGCGTACTTTGTAGTTGCTCACTATTAATAGTAATGCGTTGTGGCACTTTTCAGCTCCATCGCCAACTGCAAATGCTTTGACATGCTCTTGACAAGCTTCTTTGTGTAGTCAGGCTCGAGACGTGCCCACTCCGCTTTGATGCAAGCCTTCAATTCGGCTCGGCAGTCAAACTGACGTCCATTTGCACACATCTGACCGGCAAGAAGTCCCCACATGATCTCAATGATGCTGAAGTCGGGGCTCTTGGCGGACCCTTCCGTAGTTGTACCGCTGTTAGCCTTGAGCCCCCCCCCCCTAAGTAAACCTCGAAGCGTGTATGGAGGCGTTACCCTACGGAAATATTGGTACATATTGCTTATTTTCAGACTGAGTTTTGTCCGGTAAGAAAGCCAGTTTGCTCGCAGAGTCTCCGTGTACTTAGCTGAGTCCTGCTTTCATTTTAGAAAAACTATATCCGTATTGCCGCTCATCGACACGCCCGCCCAAACCATGACGCTTCTACCACCGTTGTCGACATTAGTCTTGGCGCCACTCTAATGTCGTGCTCGTAGCAACGGATCCCATCAGGGTCGTCTAAGTTAAATGTATTTTCTCAGTAAACACTACGGTCTTCCAATACTCCCTGCAATCTGCAAATTTGTTTGCAAATTTTACTCTGGCCACCTTGTGATGGGGCTTCAGCGCTAGAGCAGATCTCCTCTATATATACTTGGCGTATCGGTTTCTGTGCAGCACTCGTATAGCCGTAGTTACACTAGGTCAGCGTCCAACAGTCCCGCGATCTTCTTGGAAGACAGGTTGCGCGTTACGCCGAGTAAAAAAAAAGGTCTGGCACTCCGCTCGTCGATAACGGATGGCCTACAGGACGGCATGTAAGACAATGCCCAACGATAAATAATGTAGTGCACGTATGAAAACCTCGCGCAATACATAATGACATGTACAAACATCAAAGCATACATAATGGAAACGTATATGTCAAGCTTTATGTATTTCGTTAGCGTTTAGTGCTATCAACGGCGCGTACATTCTAATACGTCTTGTTCTGACGCAGGAACAAAACCTGCCCGAGCGTCGCTGGGTGGAGGCATTTGCGCTCATGGACGAACATGACTCGGGCCATACAGAAGAACCTTTCCACCATATTTTAGGTCGGCGGAATACTGCGGATCAGAGTACTGTTGCTCTTGTTCGGCAAGCCTTTGCCGTTTCTGCACGCTCGTCACGAACGAGATCCCATCGACGGAGGAGCTGGTAATGCCCAACAGCAAACGGGCACAGGGCTACCTTCTCGGCCCGCATCAAGCGAGCAGTCTTGCCGCGTAAAACACGAACGTAACCAGACTCGAGGTCTGGGCTATGAATTTTGTCAGCTCGCGAGCCTGTAAAACACAATACAAAGGTTAGAGTTCCCGTCATATACTTTATGGTAGCTGCGTAGCTTACCGAGATAGGTAGAGCATTGCGGCATGAACGCAGTAAGTTTGTCAAGCTATTCGCGAGCGTCCAGCAAGTTGACGTCAGTTTCTTGAAGGGCCTTTGAAACGGACTCCGCATCCTTCAGCTGTACGTGCATGCGCCGGTTGCAGATCTGCGATGTCATCATCCATCGTGTCCAGGTGCTCGAGTAGCTGAAAGTATCGGTGTAGCATCATGAACGTAGAACTCCACCGGGTGGCTTGACGAATTACGGATCGAAGAGACGTTTTAAGCCTAAAATTAAGCAATTAATAAAATAATTAAAAAAACGTGAGTACATACCACAAGTACTATGTGTATGGCATTAATTTCCATAAAATAAAATGAAACTTACCGCAGCTTAGCCGATTGAGTCAGCGTCCGAAGCTTGATCATCAGAGCCTGTACTTGAGCAAGGTCGTCCTCGTGACCCTGTATTTGCTGCTGCACCACAAGAATTAGTCGATGTGAAGCACACACCCCGAGCGGGACGCCAACTAGGGTTGCAACGCGTCGACTAACGCTGCAGATGTCGCCTACAATAAAGACACATTGCTGTAGCTGTTTTCCAAAGTCATGCGGCAGCATGTTATTTAGCAAGGATCTCCACGTGGGCTGCAGCAGAAAGGTCATCGTTTAACTCGTTTAGGAGGGGGCGATGCATAGCAGCGGTGTCTTCACATTCCCTTTGACTTCGTAACAAGCGAAGACAGCCAGGAAATGCTCGGACAAATGATTCCACCCATCAAGGATGAGACCAAAAAGGTTCGGCATCTCTGAGACAATTGACCACTCCACTGCTAGCTCGATCCCTTCCATCGTGACTCTGAAGGTCTCTACGCAAATTGGGTCCAGCGTGGTAAAGCTCATTATACACAAAACAGCAAGGTTTTAGTATCTTCTATTAAATAAGAGTGATAAAACGAGTAATAAACGTACCGTCTCGCTGTGCGATTCTCACAGAACGAGAGAGGTAAGTTGCTCGAAAAAATTAAAGCAGCCACCCGTACAAATTGCGCGAGGTCCTGCGAGCGTAGTTGAGCAGGGATCCCGTCTCGGCCGTCGTTGCCTCAAGAATTTCGGCTTCGAAATTGGGGTGCTCACGTCTCTCGTGCTGCATTAGACTGGTCATCCCGTTGCGACGGGTTTGCTTTCGAACCGTGCCGCAAGGACACCAGAATTACTCGAGGATGACTTCATCGTAGTCATCGCGGCACGGTTAAAAAAATAACCCAGTGACTTGAGCAGAGGTGAAAATGGACGGGCTGGGGCGTAACAAAGACCATGGCAATGGCTGAAGGGATGTTTGGGTAGCAGGAGATTTGTAAAATTGGGTATGAGAGCTGTAGACTCAATGACAGACCGGGAGTTTGCCAGGGTATATTGGTTGGTAAGGAAAGGATGTCAGAACGGGAAGGATACATTATGACATATAGTAGGTTTTCCAACATTCATTATGTACGGTATGTCATGATAAATATAATTATGGCCATTTTAAATTCGGCAGCCCCGATGACCTGCCAACTTTCTTGACCGCTGAGTACACTTAGACTTCTTCAGAAAGTTTCTAACGGCCCCCTCTGTGCGTTCGAGATGCCTGGAGATCTCGCGGCTACTTAGGTTTGCTTCCTTGTAGACCTTTATGCGCTCATACTTTCCTGCGGTTAGACGCTTTCCGCACGGCATCGGGATTCGACGTGAAGATTGTAATGCGAGCCAAAAGGTGCCATTTTTGCGCTCTTTTCAGTGGTC